AATGAGACGACATTAACTCCCGTTGTTATTTTTATCTTCATTAAGAATATTGTTCTATTCCCGATCCAGAAACAACTATTCATTCACAACCTGGAGCCCCATTCAACTTTCCAATAGTCGACCCCTGTGGCCCGAGAGATGTGCAAATTATTTTTTCACTCAATCCACTTCCCGAAAAACAATTGCTATTTTTTTTTATTAACTCAACGATTTTATTGTTGAGTAATAAAAATACTCATACTAATTAATCCATTTATCAAATGAATAATTTCTGTCTCGTCTCATTCTCGAAAACTATAAATGATTTTTTTCGCATGACAATTCAACGGAATTTGGAGAATTTAGTGCACATCCGCATCATTAATATTCAATGCACATTGAACGGAGGTGAAAAAAAATATGGAAGTTCAAGTTGCCTGGCAGTTGTGTATGAAGCAACTATCAGCTCTCCGAGACAGTCGAATTGTCATGGGCGATGATCGATGTGGCGCCTCGACGCGTCGAGGCCTCATCCAACACCACCCGGCCATCATTCGTTTGGAATAATAACGAGACTGAAAATTAATCAAGACGAGCGTACTCTTTTTATTTTCCCCCGTAAAGTATCATTAAAAGAAACAAAACCCGACGAAAAAATAAATAAATAAGTGTCCGCATGATGAGCAGCGGAAAGCAGATGGCAAAATTGCAACGAAATAATCCAATCAAAAGATTTTCTCCGACTTCATCCGATTTTCGTTAAAAAAATAATCAAGATGTCAATTAAAAATAAATATTGAATTAAAATCATAATGAATTAGAAGTCGTGTAAAAAAAAAAATTACTGCAATTACTATTAAATAACTGTAATTAACCGTGAAATCACAAAATTGGAGTGCAATTCAAATTAACGTTTTTGTTGAAGTTTATTGAGCAATTAAAAATCGTCAACAATATTTTACGGGGAAAAGATATAGAATTGAGCATTTGGCTGAAGGGATGGGAATGGGGGGAGAATATACCACTGGTCAGCCTGAGGGCTGCGTTATTTTAGTCAAGAGGGATTCTGGCAATGTTCGCACAATCATTAACCAGTGTATTATTACTCTGGGTTGGATATTAATTGATTTTGAAAATACAATTTTCCATTTGAACGATCAAAAAGCACGAATGTTGCCTGTTGTCCGGCGCTCTCTCTCTGTACCTCATACTCATCTCCCCTCGACCCACCCGGCCCTCCTTCCTCACTGTTTTTATCCCCTCATTCCTCCCACCCACCCTCTGGCAATGTCCCTATAATGCTCGAGGGGAGTGTACGAGGTGTATTTGACATTTCTATGACCTGCATCTCGTTTATTTTAATATGATATTATAATATTTTTGGGCCAGTGATCTATTTTTGAGCTCTCACATATTACCCATTTATGAACAATTCGAATTGATTATAATTTTAAAATGCTGCCATGTGTGTGGCAACCACTTGAAGTCAATTACAGTACTAGTGATTACTCGACTTGAATTCAGTGAGTAATTCACAACGCCACAATTTCAAGATCAGAATTGAATAATCCGAGATTAAAAATGGTGGGTCAAATGACATGTCCCAATGTGCTCATTAAAATCCATGGAACGAAAAACCATCAATTGTATGACATTCGATATTCCCTCGTCAACTCTTACCCGAACAATCCATAAATTCCTCAATGAAATAAACCAACCAATTTTATAACCCCAAGCCCGTATATTTCGCGGTGAAAAACCAGTTATACAGCAACACGGTTATATATAGATTATTTTTCGATATGAAAAAGAGGATAATAAAATAACGAAAAAACCCTCAGCCCATTGATAATTCAAAGCTAAACGATAACTTTTCCCATGCTCATCTGTCGTTGTATTTTCCCTCTACCCCACACCATCCCCTTTCACCCCCTTTCGCCCACTTCCACCCACACACTGGAATTCTCCAATGAGATGTATGGACAAATACAAGCGGGATTGGTCTATCGGTGCGTGAAATGGAAATCGAGCGAAATGAATTTGTATGCGAGGCTTTTGGTGGGATATATGTGAATGAAGCGCGCGGTAGGAGGGTGGGTGGTAGGGGGAGGAAGTGATCTAGAAGAGGGGAGTGCGGTGGCCGCGGGCCGCGCCAAATTAGCGCCACACGCCGGACCGATCTGCTAATATTTTTTTCATAAAGCTACCGCTCATGATTTCCACTCGCTTTTCCACATGTGTCCGACAATTCCTATCTCTCCTCGTTCACTCCCCGTCACGTATTTACAAATTTATTAAGGGAGTTGTAATTATTATCGAGGAGTAATCCCTTTGAGGGGAGAAAGGGATTTCAATCTATCGGAAATGAATTTTACATTTTTTCTCATTTTTTTGGATTTTTCAGGGTTTTCATTTGCTCTTTGAGTGTCGCAAACGGGTGAGGAAAATATATTTCAAAAATGCCATTTAATTATTTATACACATATAATTATAAAAATCATTGTTGAGCATCTCAAAATTAAATGAGGAATGGTGAATATGATTTGGAAAATGAGACAGGAGAACGGCACGTTTTTCAACGATTTCAGGCTTTTTTTGAATTTTAACGCAATTTTGTTCTGCATTTGAGTATTTTCTTTGCAATTGAGGTACAGTTGACTCGGCATATTCCACTCCACCGGTGATTGGAGTAGAAACAACAAAACAACACGAGTCAGCCTGAAGGCACAAATATCGATCTCATACATAATTAAATACCAGTACACTGGTAAAGCATCACAAAGAGAGCTTACTTCAGCTTTGATCTGCTGACAGACGGGGGCCGTCATCGACGACTTCAATAGATCCCCTTTACCTCCAACCCTGTTGTTGCTCGCTGAATCAGTTCGGAATATGTAACATGTTAAGGTATGGGGTACGCCACGCAATACTTCGACAAATGTGCAAACCCCATGGACCTTATTCCCTCTTCCGTTGCCTCACGTCAATATAATTAATATATTTATTTTTCATTTATTAAATCAAATGGCGAAATTTATGATGAACAAAATTTAATTCCATGGGAAAAAAAATAGAAGCTTCAACTTGGACTGGAAAATTATGACTGTGCATTCATAATTATTGTGAAGTTGAATAATTTATTTTAATTGGCCGTCACAATTCACGATAAATTGATGAAATAATCGGCCGGGTGGACTTTTACCGGGTGAAAAATAGCTTTCATTCGAATTGTCAGAGAACTAAATTGCAAACTCTCAATTTTTTTTTTTCCTCTGGCATGTACGTTTGAAACCCAGATGCAGTGAAAGCCGATGAATATCTTATCGCGATCTCCACTCAGACCTCGTATGAGAATAAAATTAATAAAAAAAAATCGCAGTCCCGAGGTGTTTATCATAAGACCAGAGACAGCTAGAGACAGGTGTAACCACGGGCAAATCACATAAACACGAGTTTCCTCACTTCAGCGAATCGTATTAGTTAGCATTCGAGCTGACTTTTCGCTGAAATAATTCCCTACCGATTGGTGATATATATGAAACCAGCTTAACTCGCCTACGTTCTAAACGATTTATCAATCACCCACTCGAACTACGTTATGGGAATTTTTTTTTTAAGGTACGTGAGAGACAAGTTGAAGTGTGTCTAATATTAAGTGATAGAGACGTGAATGGAACATTCAATAGCTGATGCTATTCGTGAGAGACCATCCAACTTATTTGGCTATCAACAATCAATTTCTTCAATTCAATAAATTTTCCATGGAAGCCTATACCCTAAACCTTTCTCAGTTCGTCCTATGACATTGTCAAATGAATTGAAAAATAGCGCTGGTTATCGATACGATACCGCGATTATCCTCTCGAGTCAAGTGGTGTATTGGTGTGAGAATTCCAAGTGATCGATTGCGGAACGCATGGCGCAGATCGCCGGTTGCATGACATTTGGATAACGCGGTATAAGCGCAGCCTTCCACATCAACATCCAACCGAGACTACACGTGCGTTACCAGGTGTGTGAAACTTTTACAAACTATTCACCCATAGGTGTGCGGGAGTTTGGTTAACATACAGTCACAGCGCGCAGGCCAACGGGCGCAACAGAGATGGATGTTGACGTACGTTCACACGTTACCCGGTTAGAATTCAATGCGAGAGGTACGTTTGTGTGTACAGAACACACCGAGTGCGATTAAGTGCATAAAAGCACTTTTTATCCGCACCAACACGCTCTCGCGGGAAAAAAAAAAGAGCGCGAGAGTGTGGGAGAGAGAGAAAAAGAACGTTTACCAACACATAATTGCCAACGAACGTGTCATCACATCCTTTATTCACTCGTTATAATTTTTTTTTTTTTTATCGTTATTTTTTCTTCCCCGCGAATAGATCGGCGAATGTTTTATGACGAGGGCAATCCGTCATGCGTCATGCGCCAGATAGTTTTGATTTCTTCTTAGTCAGAGGTAAATAAAAGTGTCATCACCTGGATGGGCGCGGGCTTTTTCAGCGAGGCTTTAAACTCTGTTTATGATTTCGTAGACTTTGGGTAAAAATATCAATGACACATCGCTGAATTAACGAACAATTTATGACGCGCAGAATGGAAATTGTGACAGGTGATTGGAATTATCTCGGCGATTCATTCAACTTTATCGCGAATATTGTTGTTCTTTTTTATCTCGCTCGGTTGGGTCAATATGAATGCACGAAACATTCAGCATTCTCCAGGAGTGAAAATCACGATTTTTTTCACTCTCTCAGTTGTTTAATTGGTGAATAATATCACGCGGAATATTTCTCGATAATGCACTCAACCCCGCAAATATTATCACTCCATTTTCCTCAATGTTTTCAAATAAAAACCACTCACTCAATTCATCCACCACCTGTACACACACCTTCACTATTGTTTATATAACCCGTACTAGACCGTGGCTATTCGATAAGATAATGACGAATGCGAAAAAAAAAAACACCTAAAATCCTCAACACCGGGGGATTGAAAATAATTCTGGAACTCACCGCAAGTAGTGGCTCCAGATGGATAAGATCCGTCACTCGTACCGGTGACAATTGCGATTCTGATTACTTCGTACCCATGCCAAACGATGAAATATGAGGTCTCTCCGTTTAAAAACCATATCTCACAACATCATCATCACGTGTTTAACTGCCCAGTGGCAGTACTCAATATTTCCAACTCGGTAAAATAAGAAACTATTCACAATCACCGGATGATTCACTCAGGTGCTCAGACGTATCGATAAATCCGCGTCATTACCAGCACATTTGTATTTTCCGTCGATAAACTTTCATTCACTGATTATTTCCGTGATTAACCCCCAATTAATCGGCACAGTTTTTCACGGGGTAATGAACACCTGCAGTTCACAGTTTGGGATAACTCGTTATGTAAACAGTGAATTGTTTTTGTTTTTTTTTTTTGGCTTTTGGAGTAAAAAAATTAGCGATGGCGCGAGGTTGGGACGAGGTTGGATACACCCTACCGGATCGGCAGCACGTGGCGCACTGACGGCTCCGCGTTCATCCCCACCACTCGGTGGTGATTCCCCGCTCACGGAAAATCCCCTCCCGCGGCCCTGACCTATCCCCACCCTGGGGAGGGGCACCGCGCATTCCTCCCTCTCCACCAACATCAATACACCATCGCCACAGTCCCATTCCACTCACGCCCCCATCCCACCTAGTACAATATATCTGCTCAGTTGTTTCTCTTTTTTCCTCGTTTTTCCACTCTTTTCCTCTCGAGATGCTCTGGAGCGATTTCTTACTCTCAGGGTACGGGGTCGGGGCGATTTTTCGGTTGGGGGAGATTTCGGACTGACCCCATGGTAATTGTCAACTCGTTGCTCGGAAATTGGTGGGCAGAAAAAATATCGCGAAAATCGACGCGGAGGGGACAGAAGGAGGAGTTGAAAGAATTTCTGAAAAAGCAAAAAACTGAGGAATTAATTGTTTAAGAAACGAATATTATGATATGGATTTTTTTTTTCAGAAAATTACCGGGGAAATGTGGATTATTTGGGGTTTGGAAGGTCAAAACGGAATTTTTTAGTCGAGATGCAATTAAAATTTTTTGATTTGTATAAATTTTCAATGATTAACATGCTCAATTTCTCGGAAAACCTCCCGTGCCAACCCCCATTTTTTTCCGCAGTCTACAAGAATCTCGCGGTTTTCCCGCGAAAAATATTTGCTCTCCCCCGCCGAATTCCCTTCACGCAATACCTCCTCCCCAAAAAATGCAAACATTAAATCTCGCCTAGAACCTTCCAAAGCCCTTCAAAAATTCCCTAATTAAGCACCACCATTGTCCCCCAAAAATCCCAATAATTCATTACCCCCCGAATGTGCTCATCAACCCCAATTGCAATGACTCATCCCCCCAAAAAAATCGTAACGTTTTTCATCGGTGCTCGGCCCCAAAAAATTATCGAAAAAAAAAAATCCCCAGCAAGACCTATTCACACAACTTTTACGAGCGCAATAATTTCTAGAGAAGAATGAGGGGATTCTCAGTGTATGTATAACGAATCGTTTTCCGCGTTTCTTCTGGAAAGCTGCGGAATGACAGTATACCGGGTACAAGTGGTGGTGGTGAAGGGATGTTAGAGGGGGATGGGCTTGGAAGTGAAGGCGAAGGACGATGGGTTAGGTTCCATGGATCAGGGAGCTCGATAGCGTGCCGAAGTCGAGGCGTACGGCAATAAATCCATTTTTCGGTGAAGGGTCGGCGGTGGGCAGAAGGGAGGGCCCAGGGAGTGAGAGAGTGAGAGCCGAGAAGGGTCTGATTAGCAGCCTGACTCGACCGTACAGGATGACAGCCCGGTGAGTTATAATATTGCCCATCCATCTATTTATCTACTCTCTATCGCGTCGTTTCCCGTCTCTACGATTCAGCCCTACCATTGCACCCTCATGTGTACCCCCTCCCCCTTCCCGAGACCCCCTCAACGCCCCTTATAGCCATACCTTTGAGTTTGAAATGTCGTACATCAACCAGAATGGGAGAAATAAATAAAATTAGGACGCGCATTGTAATAAAATTCCGGTGGGAAACAAAACACATTTTTTCCGGAGATAGATTTCACTATCTACATGATTCATCTGTGATACATAATAATATTTCTTGTCGAGGGAATTTTTTAAATTGGAAGACACTGGTGGCAATTTTTTTTTAATTCAATCAAAAAATATTTAGATCATCTTTTCTAACAGAATCGAATCTCTCCGCCTTTTGACATAAAAAAATTTGGAAATTATATTGCACCTAGACTTTAACTCGTCACGATTTAAAAAAAAAAAAAAATGATTTGCGAGTGATTTAAAAATTACCCACACTTAATCTATTCACTGAATTTATAGATTTGTAATTTATATGGGCTATTTATATTGAGATTGCTAGAGGCAAGGTTGAAACAAAAAGGTGGGGGGAAAAGGGGGGGGCAAACAATATAAATAAAATTGGACATGTTACATGGGGCGGGAGAGCTACCCATAAGAGAAAAGTGTGGATGAGAGAGGGAGAGAGATGAGAATAAATGAAGCTCATTCGATATTACATTGAGGTGACCCCTCGCAAATCTTTGGACTCTGAAAGCAAAACGCCCGGGACACCTCTCTATACATTTTCAACTGGAAAGATGCATCCCGAACTTTCGACGGGAACCAGTTCATATATCTCAAGTATGGTCGCCATAAATAAGCTAACCTGTCCGTTCGTTCTGTTCGCCGTCGGGCGATTCTCTTCTCCCCCATTCCCTCCCTCTTTTAACCCTCCATTCCACCTCGTTCTTCTCCACCTCCTCACCCCACCATCGTGAATTTCCCCGCTGGGGGCTTATAATAATATTCGATACGCGGCAATTGCCGTAGACACCCATTCCCGCGTGATTGACAATTCCTCGGAGATTCATCCAATTTTCCAAAACTCCACAACTGCTATTTTAATATCATGAATATATTGCGAAGACAAGGATGAAGAATATATTGATTGACAATCGAGTGACAAGATGGTGTAGAGGAATACTCTTCAGTATCCAATCTCTGCACCCAAATGTACAAAGTAGAAATAATACAGCGTAATGAGCTTACACCTTCATCCCACGCATTAACGATTAAACCAGTGCCTCCATACCTCGTTGTAATCCGGTTTCTAAGCGGCCTATGGTAGAGCATATCGATGACGGGGTGATATGCAAAGTTGTTGGATAAAATGACGATGAGGTAGAAAATCGCTGGCTTCCGTCTCGCATGCTAGAGTTGTCCGCAGTCATTTTAATCTGGTAACTGCTGCATCAAGTATTCATAAAACTGTACTAATGGTTCAATTTGTGACAGATTGTGCCGATACTCTGCTCAATCGAGCTGTGGAAAATATTCATAAAAAGCTTTTACGCTGGTGAATTATAATGTATTCCTCACGTGTAGCATATATTTTTCGGCTGTCTGATATTTTGAAGCGTTTTTTTTTTCCCGCATCCGGGGAGTTGCTCTCGGATTCCTGTCGGTCACCGCAGATTTACGACAGGACCTTTGAGAGAGATGGAGCTTATAGAAAACCAGGGTGGTTTTGTGCAACAATGAGGCAATGCCATTTGTCACAAGGGTGCCTTCCTACTCGTAATAACGTTTGGCTCTGTAACACAGTCGTGCTTACCAACAGACTCACGGTTTGACCTTTTGCCTCTCAACTCTTGTCGCCGCGTCCTTTTCGTGATCTCTAACCAATCTTTCGATGATTCCTATTTCATTCACTGTGAAGGCAAACAACCCTCGACTCCATTTTTAATTCTAAAAACTGTTATTGTACAAAACGTACAGTGGAATTGTTGACATTTTTTTTTCGACCATTTTAATGGGTCAATCGCGTTTGACCCACAATAGGTTTCTATCGACATGTAAAATCGGACAGATTGACCCAATGCCATAACATCCTGAAAATCACGCACTGGCTCCAGTGATTTTCAATTGCTAATGCCTCCCTAGATCCTCTCATCGCCTCCACTCTCGTGTCGCACAATACCGAGAGCTGTCCCCCGATATATTTATGCAATTGTCATACAAATTGCCCTGTTATTCCATCCGGACACCCTGCCCTCGAAGATATCCTCACGCATTTCCCCTGAAATTCCAGATTGGATTGGATTGGATTGAACATATTTTCGAAGGAATCGGACCTCGAAAAGAATTCGAAACAACGAATTCACATCGATTTAGCACGTTGAGACGATAACAGCTCGTACCCCTCGACACGCATGTGGTGTGTTTGGCGAGGCGTGGGCGACGAAGAAGTGCAAAAGATAGAACGTATACCCTTGGAGTTATGACGAGTCGACGGGCATAAAATTCTCAAAACCGATAAGATTACGGTTGGAGCACTTCTTCCACCGAGTCAGTCCCTATCATCGAATTTACGATTATCCCTTTTCACCGCTTCTTCCTTCAGACAAGAATGATAAATAATGATTGAGACATTTAAAGTATCTCGATCTTGGAATACGCTCATCGATACTCTCGATCAATATCATTACGATTTATATCGATTCTTTTGATACTTCCCGATGTGTTTCTATTCATAGGTCTCGGATGTGTTGATGCATTGTTTACGCCTTTTGTTTGTTGTGGGCTGAGAGTTGAGTCATCGTTAGGTTCTCAAAGAAGATATCGGAGGCTCTCTGATCCATATAATGCAACTTCAATACCGAATTCATTGACTCAGCATGACGGGGCTGTCTTCTCCGGCATCGATTTGAGTGACGAGAGAAGAATATAGTTTTTCGAGGGGCGAACTATTCATTATTGCCAAATGTCACCGAATAGTTGAGGGGACGTTGAAAAAAAAATTTTTTAACGCTAATTAATCGAGATATTTGCATTTTGATATGTGAGTCGGGACGATGAAGTGTGTTGAGCACAAAATGGTGGAAGGGGGTTGAGAGGAATCGGTTGGCGATCAACTGGCGGTTGTACGTCAATCTGATGGAAACAGAGGGAGCCCAAGTGCTGAGGAATCGAGGGGGGGCCCAAGATGGCCGCTCGACAGCGCACATACGGGGCCCCGGTTCGCCGGCATCACCGACATTTAGCATAAATCACTCCCGCTCCGGTCTCTTTGTCTCCATCTCTCGCTCTCGCACGCACTCCTGGGGCCCCGCCATCCTATGACCGCTGCAAATACAGTCTTTCTTCCTTGTATGCCTCCACCTTCTCTGATCCCCTACCACTCGAACCATCACCTTGGCACCCAGCAAAATTTTTTTCGAGCTTTTCGTAACGTTACCTCATTTTTAATTGTCATTGCTATCTCTATTCAACTTGGGAATGCTGTCCAGAACGAAAATCTGGGTAAGGATATTGAACCATCTAGTTGGATGGGTCCACTTCGGAATTGAGAGGAACATCCTGAAAGTGGAAAAAAAAAATCTCGTCCATGTGCGTGAAGGTCAAAGCTCTTCCAGGCTCCCAGTTTTTTTTTATCCCTCATTGACGA